AGGGCTTTGTTCTAGAAAGTTGGCAAAATATAGTTGGTATATAGACATTCGTGGGACAGGAAATTTACTCTGGGCACTCAGATCATCATCATCGCCTCTTTCTGACACTCGAGCACTATAAGGGCTTCAATAACACACTTGGCTTTCACATGACACTGTTTCCATGGAGCAGATGTTGCCTTTTAGACCCAGACAACATGAATGGCACGGCAATGATGTCATGGTATCCGACTCGGCTGTTAGAGCCGGGATTCTCTGGGAAAGAGAGCAGAAAAGACTGGGAGACACAAAAGGAAAAAAAAAAATATAAATCGCACTGCACAGATCCGCCAATCAAGCGGCAGAACTCACCCAGAAACCCCTGAGGTTTCTGAAAGAAGGGTGAGAGATTCTCAGATGATGACATGCGGCTTAAGACAACAGTGAGACTGTGGTGTCATCCATTTATACACAGCAAACACATCCCTCACAAATGAGCCACCTTAATTAAAAGATAACAAGGATTCACAGAGCTCAACACTAAAGCTGAACTGCGGAAGATCGAACAAACAATTTTATGCCTTCAAATACCAAATTTTATCCTATAATTCACCTTTACACAAGATGTAAAATAAGTCTCTGATGTCCCCAGAGTGTGTGTGAAGTTTCAGCTCAAAATACCCCACAGATCATTTTTATAGCATGCTAAAATTGTCGTTTTTTGAGGGTGAGCAAAAACACGGCATTTTTGTGTGTCCCTTTAAATGCAAATGAGCTGCTGCTGCCGGCACAGGGGGCGGAGCTTCACACACACACAATGAAAACTTGAAAACCTTTTAGCCTTTTATGTTCAAACTGGAGTCGGACTATGATGGAGAGACTCAAGAAGAAGTGACAACATGTAGGACATTTCTGAACAGTTAGTTGATGAATTAATATTGCTGATGTTGAGTTAACTATCTTCAAGTCATTGATTAACATATTCTGTCATGATAATCTATAAATGGCGTTCCCGAGGGCGGGGTTTATGTACATTTTGGGGTTAGGGATGTCACTAACCCGTGAAGAAGCTCCCAACCAGCCGTTTGTTGTGGTCCTTAAAATGTGATTTCTGTAAAAGAAAATCTTTCCCAAACTTTGCAGATGTTGTTTATGCTCAAACGGCAACATTGTACACAAACTGAAGTTAAACAAGTGAAATCATAATCAACCGCCCCTTTAACTTAGTGTTCTGGAAAATCACAGATGCACAGCTTCTATAATAAATCAACGCATACCGTAACTGTCATGCATTTCAGTTAAATTAGGGGTTTAAAATTACATCTTTTTAACAACAGCAAATTTTAAATGGCATTAACGAGTCTGTGACATGTCATTTAGAAACTTGGCACGTTCAATACCGCCCAAATGTTTGAAAAATTACACTTCTAATTTTACATGGACCTCTTCCTATCAAATATCTCAAGCCGAATCTGCAGAATGGGTTAAAGCGGATGGCTGACGTCCATAGTTGAGGGTGGAGGACTGGTTCTGATCCGACACGACTGTATCTTTCATCAGTCTGTAAAAATATACCTCAGATTTCTAAAACCTAGTTGTAAAGTCGATCTCAAAGCTCTTTCTCGTTTTAGATGTGTTTTAGATGCGTTTTAGACGCATTTTAGATGTGTTTTAGTTGTGTTTTAAATGTTTTAGATGCGTTTTAGATGCATTTTAGTTGTGTTTTAGATGTGCTTTAGATGCGTTTTAGTCGTGTTTTAGATATTTTAGATGCGTTTTAGATGCATTTTAGTTGTGTTTTAGATGTGTTTTAGATGCGTTTTAGATGCGTTTTAGTAGTGTTTTAGATGTGTTTTAGATGCGTTTTAGATGCGTTTAGTAGTGTTTTAGATGTGTTTTAGATGCATTTTGTTTTAGATGTGTTTTAGTTGAGTTTTAGATGTGTTTTAGATGCGTTTAGATGCGTTTAGTAGTGTTTTAGATGTGTTTTAGATGCATTTTGTTTTAGATGTGTTTTAGTTGAGTTTTAGATGTGTTTTAGATGCGTTTTAGATGCGTTTTAGTAGTGTTTTAAATGTTTTAAATGCGTTTTAGATGTGTTTAGATGCATTTTAGTTGTGTTTTAGATGCGTTTTAGATGCATTTTAGATGCGTTTTAGATGTGTTTTAGATGCATTTTGTTTTAGATGTTTTAGATGCGTTTTAGTTGTGTTTTAGATGTTTTAGATGTGTTTACATGTGTTTTAGATGTGTTTTAGATGCATTTTAGTTGTGTTTTAGATGTGTTTTAGATGTGATTTTTTTTGCTGTTCAATGTGCAGCGCAAGTCTGACATATCTGCTACACAATGTTATAATGAGAAGATTATAATTGCATGCTTGTGACATGGCTTTTAATGGGGAGACTTGTATTTGTAATCACAGTGCCTGGTTGTGGAAGAAGACAGTCGCTGCATAAGCTTCCTCTGGATTCCAATAGGACTGCATGAATAAACTTTATTTTTAATGACGTTCCAGCTGATGAGGTAAAACATTGTCCGTCTGTTTGCTTCATTTCACTGAGGATTGTTTTGTAAACAAGACTGGATTTGCAGAGCGATTAAGAGTAAAGAACGGTGCTGTGCCGTCTATATTGGATATGACAGGAATGGTGCAACACCCGGACTCTGGGTCCAACATGTATGGGCCAATCATTCCAGTCGCCATTTTACAACATTGGACGTTTTCAAACCAATTTCCCCCACGTGCATCACCGTGCGAGTCGAAACTCATTATAATATGCAAAACTGTTATCCACTCACAGCAGTGGGCGTTTACTTCCAAGTCTTCAGTGCGAGACGCCCATAAAAACCCAGCGTTATTCAGCTAGGCTCAAAACTAGGGTACAAAATAGACTATTACTTATTCATTTTGATGTTTTTGAATGCAAAAACCAAGCGAACGTCATAAGTTGACCTCAGACAACAATATAATAAAATATAAAAAGCCAGTTCATGACCACTTCAAAGATAAGATAAGCTTATCCAATTGGGTCTGAATTATAACTTTGGTGCATGGGCGATGCGGAGAGTTGAAGAACGTTCAACTTTGGGTAAAACGCAGCGCTCATTACTGTCACTTTTTAACCAGCCGTCCAATCACAGTGGAGGAGGGGCGTGGCTAAACCACACCGACCAACCGTCACAACATTATTTCTGTACAGCGACATCAACCAGCAGAGCTAACCGAACAAAATGGAGGAAAAATACATTTTTAGTATGAAACACATTATCTGCGAAATCAGTTACAAGTAGAGCCCGATCGATAAAGGATTTTGAAGGCCGATACTGATACAAATATTTTTGGGTTTTAAAATCCAATATTTTTTTTATTTATTTATTTATTTATTTTTTAACTGGACATGATAGTCACAAATTTTGTCATGCTTATTTGAGTTAAGAGAACTGATGGGGATGTTCTTTTAATTGTTATTCAAGCAATGTATGTCTCGTGACCAACTCAACGAGTGTTGCCAACAGGAACGGTGTAGAGCGCCCTCTGGTGGACAAACTATACAACTCCAACACTCATGACATGGTTCAAGCGTGTTTCGTCCGTTTTAATTTTATTTTTGAAATATTCATTTATCGGCCATTATAACTGCCGATACCGATAGTTTGGAAAATGCCTAATATCGGCCGATAATATTGGTCTGCCGATATATCGGTCTGGCTCTAGTTACAAGTAAACTGTGCTGCGGATATTCTGTATCATAGCAACGAAACGTCTCAATGGAAAACTGACCCTTTTGCAAGCCACTGAAATCAATCACTGAAGACTGTTCTCTATGAGGATAGCATCAAAATAACAACCAATCACATTCCTGAAATCCCAAGCTATTGTAGTTTAAGGAAGCAGATGGAGAGATTGGCAGAACATGTGAACTACTAGTCACCGATTTGTCCTTTCTCTTGCTTTTTCATCTTGAACGGGTGGTGGCAGATATCCAGACTTCCAACTTCTGTCCATTAATCCTGGTGTGTTTTGCCAACAAACGGATCAGATAGCCAGCTGACATTACATGTCCGACAGTTTGCCTTGTGTGACTAATACAACATAATTCTGGGAGCATTGAAAAATAACAAAACTATTTAAAAAAAAAAACTTGTACTTCACACTTAACATCAGCTTCAGTTCAAACTTCAGTCCCTCATGCAAAAGCTACAGTAAATGTCCCGTTTATATGGATTAGCCATACATCTCAAGCAACTTCGTTGGTATATGGAGAAATTAAAGCTAGCTGATAATAATACACTGAAATCTTTTTGTGCTTGCATTGCATATCCCGACCCGTGTACAAACAAGAGTAACGGTGAAATCAGAGCAGTGTTTTCATAGCGTTGAACTCCTACAGAGACTTGGCAAAGGAACACCGCCAACAAATGTGCCCTGTATGGTTCAAAAACCACTGCGTCCTGGCATCCATGCTAGTGTCATCAAATGTTCTCCCATTATGTGATCCAGCTTGAGTACATTAATGCACTGCATGCCAAAGTTTATAGGGTGTTTCATTAAATGTCTCTTACAGTAGCAGATCAATGCATCTGTAAGACATCTAAACGGCAAAGAAATGCCAACTCGCATGAAAATACATCTATGCTTTTAAGTGCAAGTCATGCATCACACTTTTTGCAACATTACATTGATTGCACTGCATGCAATGGCAGAACCATATGAGAATGCACATGGAATATTTAGATATTTTCAATCCACAGATACCTATACTGTATATTATACCCAGACATTGATATGAAATGCATGGCAAAAACATTTCTCGTGAATGAATTCGTGGCTCATGTATATGCACGTGCATCAGATTAAAAACCACAACTTCTGCTTCGATTGACACAAACACAGTCAGGTAGACAGTTTAAGACGGAAGAAGACACATTTTTTTAAATGTTTTTTTTTTTTTTTTTCAATTATTATCTTACGAGCTTTAGTAGTATACAAATGTACATATTAACGGAAGTAGTGTCTCACCTGCCGAGTTCTCTCCCGGGGATGACGTCATAGCGCTCGGTGAACGGCTCGCTCCTGATCGCGGTTCGGATCTCGCACAGTAACCCGGACCGGTTCGGACCCGATTCACACCGAACACGGCTTCTGGACTCACTCGTTCGTGGACATTCGGGAATCATCACGGCTGCTGATCGGTCTTATCTCTGGACTTATACCTGTTTGTTTTTACCTGCAAGCCCAGTCCACTTTACACAGTGAACCGAATATTATCACTCTACCTCGCTTAATAAAACAGTTTATCCCGCTGAATTTAGACCGAAGATGGAAACGTGTCTAAAATATAAACTGTTGATACTTTCATCTTCGGTTAAAAGTCCTCCTGAGAGAGTTTAATGTTCTAGGCTGCGAGGAAAACAGCTTTCCTGGTCTACTCGCTCCGGTTCTGAGTAACTGAAGTCAGTCGAGCTGCTTCTCAGACTCCAGTTGCCGGGGCAACGGACGTGATTGACAGGCCTTTCCACCAATCACGATCAAGCACTTGCCGGTGGGCGGGAGGAGGTTCTCCTTGAATGACAAAGGCAAATTGATTGATTAATAAAATGACTCAGTTATAAAAAGACTGACGTTGGGCTTATTGTGAGAGCACAATTAAATCGTCAACTGTTTATGCATGAAGCGATTGTAATCTGAATTTATACATTATTTATACATACACGTTTACTTAGTTAATGAGGATACGGGCTTTTCATCTTTTCACCTTAAATCTAATCATGCACTTTCTGATACCTTTTCTGATAATAAACACCCTGTTTTATTATAAGTTTTTGGTCTCATTATGTGCGATTTAAAATAGACTGTTTTATCCCATCAAAACACACACACACACTGCTTGTTGATGGGATTCTTCCCAACACTGGAGCGAGTGAGGCCCTCTAGCGCTTGAACTTGAGTATTTATGAATGTATTGTTTTGTAGCAACTCTCCACAAAAGTTGACATAATTAGGCTAAAGCATACAAGTTACAACATACAACAAATTGATTGTTTATTGACATTTATGTACAACAATTTGGGGCATAAGCAAAGTCTGTTCATCTCGAACAAATTGACATCAGGAAATTAGGCTGATATACAGTAATTAGAATTCATGAATATTTACATTTACATTTTCATTAACAATTGAAACAATTTTCATATGCAATTTCATGAATTTATATTGAACTCAAATACAAAAAGAATATAAAATACAAAACTGCCAACAAATAAAAAATGATAAAAATGCATCGTTTTTTAACATAATCGACTGAGCATTACAACAGCAAACGGTCAGAAGAAGTAAAACAAGTTACGCTTGATAGTATGTGTTTAATACACTGAAGTGGATGTCCTTCTGTCAGGAGAACGGCTTCATGAGGATAAATGCAACGATACACACACTCTCATGAAGCCTGTATGCAGTAAATGCTCCTGTGGTTATCAGAGGTCCAAGTGTCCAACACAAATGCAAATAAAAAAGCACCACTTAAGATATTGCATACATATTAATAATAAAAAAAAATCTGGTTATCTGGTTCTTGTTGCCTGTAATTTGACTCAAAGTCTGTTTGCATTTAGTTTTACGGTTACACTTATGAGGAACTCATGTGTGTATGACTTTAAATCATATGCATCATTAAGATGATTTTAGTTTTATTAATATTGATAAACCTGAAATATACAAGGTGGAGCTGGGGTCTTTCTACATTTGTTAAATATATTCTAAGCATTTCAGAGAAATATACTGTAGTGCATGAATCCAATGTTATTGTCAGTGTCATTATATGAAGCTCATCCCTAATAAAGAGATTTGTCTTTAATTAAACTATTGGAGAGTTGTTTCTCATGTGGCCACACACACACACACACCCTGCAGACAGACAGGTCTGATTAGATTAGTGTTAGTGTCACTAATTTGGTTGCACAATAAAGTCGCTTGCATCCCTGTCGAGTGAGCGTCCACGTGTGCTTCCTAAGGCCTCGAGTTTGACCATCTCTACTCAAAACAGAATCCTTTCATTTCATTTATTTCAGTAATTCAACTTAAAGGGTGAAACTAATATAGACTCATTGCATGCAAAGTGAGATATTTCAAGCCTTTATTTGTTATAATTGTGATGATTATGGATTACAAATTATGAAAACCTTTCACAATATTCTGATTTTGAATTTGGGTTTTCAAAATTATAACAAATAAAGCCTGAAATAACTCACTTTGCATGTAATGAGTCTATATAATATAGTTTCACCTTTTAAGTTGAATTACTGAAATAAATGAACTTTTGCTCGATATTTTGTTTCACCTGTAGGCCTATATCCTGCAGTGTGTGTGTTTGTGTGAAAAAAACAGTTTAGGGATTATAAGAAAGCAAATAATCTGCTGTGGTTTGGAGTTCACCGATGAATATGATCATGAAAGTTGTTCGCTCAGTGGTTATGTTCGGAATAACATACTACTCATATTACCCATATTATTTATGCAGCATCCATAATGACGTGCACAATGCCGGCATACACACACACACACAATACCCGAGTGATGTTTTACATCCACTGCGATGCACATTATGTCTAGAGCACACTGTGTGGAGTATTGTATCCCATAATGCAATGTGCCAGTGAACTTATAAGTAACAAGATCATTCTGACAAATTTTCATTTTCACACATTAAACTATTTCTGATATGATAACATGCAAATTATTAAACATGCAGAGCGTAATGATGTGTGCCATAAGCACTGCATATAACTGCACATTGTAATCTTTCACATAGGCTACTACATTAACTTCATAAAATACTGGCAGTGTGCAGTACAGTATTTAATGTGCAGTATTTCTTTAGTAATATGGGTTACACTTTATTTTAAGGTGTCATTGTTATTATGAAATTATATATTTAAGTACTGAGTAATATTAATAAACTAAATGTATGGACTATGGGTTTAGGGTTTGGTTGAGGGTGCATGTATGCATACTTTACATTTATTACTATGTAACATATGTAAGAATGTCACTGTACGATAAAGTGTGTTACAGCAATATGTTAGTATTCCATTTCAATAATCCGGCACTGAAAATCCCAGTTCACCACATTTGAAGGAATAGCCAATCAGAAAGGAGATAGGGGCGAGCGGGGCACAAACTAATGCTAATGCTAACGCTAACGCTAACACACGGTTGGGTTTAAAAGGTTCCACACACCAGCATGACGAAACTTAGTTGCCATAGCAACACTACATAGAGAAAAAAAGCGCCAAAATTACAAAATCTTCGGAAGATACTGAACATTTATTTATCCATAGCAAATGTAATTTTTTTATTACATATGTTAATTTCTCATCTCTGTCTTTCGCGTTTATTTAACATTAGAGAAATCTGACATTTTAATCTTATATCTGTAATGTAATAGTTGATTAATGCTGATGTACTCGCCGGGTCGCTCAGGCGGGGCATGTTGTCACACGGTTACAATGAGCCGCTATTAGAACTATGATATTCTATACGTTTATGAATTCTATTGAGAAACCATTAGAAAAAGGTGAATAAAGACTGAGAGTCAATGTTCAGAAATGATTAATTATGATTATGCTTTATATGTGATGTGTTCAAAAATGTGTTTATTTTTAAAGATTAAAAAATACCATTGTTTTATATGAAAAGGTTTATTGTATTTTATAGAGAACACATTTTAGTTTGTCTTACATATTTAGTGATTAGATAACAGTAATGTGATGTTATAGTGAGCTCCAATGGGGCATGTTGTCACAGTTCACTTCCATTCTTTCAGGGGAAATCGAGGAAAAGGGGAAACACTGTATTAATGAAACAAAACCACATGATTTTACGCGATGTGTGAAATTATTATGGGAAAAAATAACTGAGAAAGTCAAAAAAGTGTTATGTTGTGCCCGCTCTCCCCTAATGCATTAAATGTCAGTATTGCATACATGTGGCTTTTGACCCCAGACTCCCGCAAATACAGAAAAGTACCACATATCTTATATTTTAGTGCAGAAACATGCTATTTCAAGTCATTTAAAAACGAAATGCCCATATTTATTTACTTTAAAAATCTCTAAAAAGTCTCTTGTGGCTTGAGTTATTGAAAAAACTATTTATTTACAGGAATAAAAAAAGAAATCTATTGTCAGCCAAGTGTCCGTTCTTCACTCCAGCCCAAAGGTGCTGGTCTCCTCCACGGCCGTCAGGAGCTTCTCGTACAGCATGGTGTGCGACGGATAGGGAGGCAGATCCAGGCGGTTGAAGCACGTGTGAGCCCTGCGGGAGACGGAGATGCAGGGGTCAAAGGTCAAGGAGATTCTGAGTAAACAGGCGACATGTAAACACCGAATTTTGGACACACTTTCGCCATCTTCGTCCCAGCAAAGCATGTGAAATTCTGTATGTGAGTGAGGCATCTGTATCCTCTCCATCACACCGCCCGTATTTAGCTCTGGCTGCCGACACACACACACACACACACACACACACTCTAACCCTGGCAGAGACACATGAGCCGGTGTAGTGCTGAGATCCGCAGTGCTTCTGTTCGCCAGACGGAAGGTGAACCACTGGATGAACTATCCCTTTAAGCTCTGTGCTTTTCATCTCACATCTCCCATTTGTTTTGTTTTCACATGAGAAAGAAATATGACTGTCAAATATAAATGGAAATGTAGGGATCTAAAAACACTCTTTCAATCAATTCTTGTTTTAAAATGAGATATAATATTCTTTCCATGAAATGTGATCTATGACGAATATAATGGCAAAAATCCTTTGTTTTTTAATATTACACTCAGGTCTCTGAGATTTAATAAAGCACATATGCTAGTCATCTAAATGGTAATGTCCTCTGAAAACTTGACAAAACAAACTTTTAGCAAAATATGCACATTTCAATCTTCTCAACAGGCCAATAATATTCAAAACGGCATCTTTAAGCGGCACACACACATTTTTGTGTCTAGAATGAGAATATCGCATTTTAAGGTTAGGATTTGATTTTTCGGTAGTACTGCAGAACACTGTGAATGTGTATTAGATCTATTTGTTGTTTGCTGTTGGGGATCCAGAAACTTTTTTACTCAACGGCCATTCAGAATTTCTACTAGCCCCCAAAAGAAAGAAATTACCCAGATTACCTACATCATATATACACTCACTTACAGGATTATTAGGAACACATACTAATACTGTGTTTGACCCCCTTTCGCCTTCAGAACTGCCTTAATTCTACGTGGCATTGATTCAACAAGTGTGTGTGTGTTCAGGTAAGCCAGATATGAGGAGATTCTGTGCAATACACTGTATTTAATATATCATGACGACTCAGATTTGTCTTCCCCAGCAAAGTGAGTAAACATAATAAGTAACGCCGAATTCGCCAGCGATTAAACAACGTTAGCGCCATCCAGTTTTACACGCGTTTTGCGAGTGTTCGTTTCAAACCCTAGTTATGAAGTGTCTCATGCAGCGTATACCTTGGCAGAGAGGTTATCTTTCCCCACTTCTCGATGCAGAAGCGCCTCAGGCCGTTGCTCCCCCTCAGCGATGCGAATCCCTCATAGGGGACACTGGACGTGCCCGTCACGAACTGGAGCAAACGCAACCTCTGCTCATTATTGAAGCGCTCCACCGCGGCCCAGAACCAGCGCATCACAATGTGCCCATCATGGTAACCTGAGGTTAACAGAGAGACCAGTGAAGTTAAAGGACTAGTTCACTTTTCAAAAACCTTTTGCTGATAATTTACTCGCCCCCATGTCATCCAAGATGTCCATGTCTTTCTTTCCTCAGTCGAAAAGAAATTAAGGTTTTTGATGAAAACATTCCAGGATTTTTCTCCATATAATGGACTTCAATGGGAACCAAACTGTTCAAGGTTCCAGTGCAAACTGCTCAAAGGGCTTTAAACGACTCCAGACGACGAATAAGGGTCTTATCAAGCGAATCTTTTTCCGAGTTATTTGGTTCATTTAACGAACAAAATGAACAAATAGACTCGGAAAAAGATTCGTTCATTTTGATGAACGAGTTCGAACAGGAGAGTCGCGAACGCGCATCACAGAACAGAGCAAGGCGAGCATTTGAGCTTATAAAACTTAAACTTTGTTATTTATTTATTAAATGAGCGATCGTTTCGCTTGATAAGACCCTTATTCATCGTCTGGAATCGTTTAAAGCCCTTTGAACAGTTTGCACTGAAACTCTCATTTGGACCTTGAACCGTTTGGACCCCATTGAAGTCCATTATATGGAGAAAAATCCTGGAATGTTTTCATCAAAAACCTTAATTTCTTGAAGGACATCTTGGATGACATGGGGGTGAGTAAATTATGAGCAACTATCAACTACTCCTTTAAAGTGTGCAGTTTATAGTGGCGTCTAGTAGAATTGCATAAATAATGCCACAGTTTCAAACCACTTTGCAAATGGGCCTTTAACCCAAACATCACAAACACAGATCGTACGGGAGACTGTGAAGGGAATTTATTTAACATACTTCACATTTAAACACAAATATGTGGATGTCCAGTGCACTATAAAGCTTTGTCCAAACTCTAGTAAGCTGTCTACTATGGGAAGCAATTTCGTACACAGCCCTAGTGATCCTGAAGACGTAATTAGCTGGCACAGGTCTTTTTTAGTTAGGGCTGGAGATAAACTAACACCACTGCTATGGAGTATAATTGTAGCATGTTGCTAAGCTAACAATGGCACTTTTATAAATAGCACACACAAATATTAATTTTTACAACCCAGCTAAACACTAATTTTTATTTATGTACATCAGGAAGCGACATCGTCTTTCAAAACATGACCTACTTGAAAGAGAAAAAAAGAATGAATGCGTCATTGTACCCAGCACTTTTGAAAATGCCCTTCCGAATATGTTTCTGTCCCCAGCACATTTCAGACCAAACTGACGCCCATGATTTTAGCATGTTGCTAAGCTAACAATGGCACTCTAAAAAATAAATAAATAAAATAAACATAAAAAATAATAAAAATAAAAATAAAAAGCATTATTATAAATAGCACACACAAATATTGGGTAAACTAGTCCTTTTGTAATCCTCCCCAATATCGAATGTAGTCAAGACAATTTTGTCTTTCCTGACCTTGTCATAATGCATTCTGTGAACGATTTCTCCATTACGGAAACTAACTGAGAGTTTGGATGACTCAATTTGATTTAATCTATGTAAAGTATAAGAAGAAAAGAGAATGTGTCTCACTAAAAGAGTCTCTATCTGAATGTGCAGGAAAAGTCAACAGAGGACTCCAGAGTTTCGAGTGAGGTCATCTCGACACTGAAACCACAACACCGCAGGGTTATATGAAATTCTATAGCGCTGACCCGTTATGCTTTCAATGTCAACAGCTCTGTTCTAAGTAATGAACTGCAATCTAAACAGATGGGATACTTGTTTTGGCATTTGCGGTGGGGAAAAATACTTTTGACCCTCCATAGTAATTCACAGGAGAGGACCTCAAAGAAAAGTGAAACCACTTCACATGGAACAAAATGAGTAATCAAGCGTCTAAGCACTCATGAAGACCATGTCAACATTTGATTTATGGATAGTTTTGAGCATTTCTGGAGCTATATTGACAACATTATGTCATTTTGTGAACTTTTAAAGCTATCCGCTCACCTCCTCTATATTCTGTGTTGGATCTCCAGTCGTTCAAATCGATCTCAGCCGTTCCTGCAATGACCAACTCCAGCTCCCGAGCATCGAACACCGAAACCAGACGCGAGTCTACGACCTGCATCGTCAAAAGGACATTGAAATATCTGAATCTGATCAGTAAATCCTCGTTTCACTAAACCTTTGTGTAGTCCGGCTACTGTTCAAGCCGACGTACCTCATAGAAACCTCTGACGAGGGCTTCGGTCTGCTGCATAACCCCCCTCTCCACCCTCCATCTTGCCATTCGCTCAATATATTCCTTCTTGTTCTTCTCCGTCACTTGGATATTGGAGCCCCCCGACTTCAGCTCCCTCTCCGTCACCTGTCAAACAACGTAAACGAGTTTTAAGGGTTCGGACAAAAAACAAAATGTTTATAATTGAAAGTATTAGAGACATGGCAGGTTAAAAAGCACTCTTTTTATCCTAAAGGTCAAGTGCGTCACTCTTTAAATGTTAAAACATTTATCCAAGATTAATATAAGTAACCATAAGTAAGCCAGGGTTGTCCAAACCTACTTACCCAGATAGCAAACTGACATTGAATCAACGTGGAAATATGACATCGAAACAACGTTGATCTGACATTGTTTTGCTCATCGAATTAACGTTGAACCGACGTCAGACGCGTCATTCTTTCAAAACTAACGGAAAATCAACTTGAAATCAACGCGTTGTTTCAACGTTATGAAAGCAAACCAATTTTCGATTTTCATTTAGCTTTGAAGATTGCCGCGTCTGACGTTGGATCAACGTTAATTCGATGAGCAAAATCAACGTTGTTTCAATGTCATGAGAGACGTCGTTTCCACGTTGATTCAATGTCAGTTTGCTGTCTGGGTAAAGAGGGCCAATGTCCTGCAGTTTAGCATCAACTTGCCCAAACACTGGAAGTTTCTAGTGAATTTTGATTAGCAGGTTCAGATGAGTTTAATTCAGGTTATGGTGCGTTCACACCGGATGCGAATAGCGCGTCAGGCGCGAATTATTTCAATGTTAAATCAATGCAAAGACACGTTATGCGCGTAAAAAATTCCTGCGGCTCGAATGAGGCGTAGGGCGCGGAAGACACGAATACGCCTCATTCGTGCGAATGGCGTGAATTGAGTGTCTGGCGCGTTAAGCGTGAATGATTTAGTTAGTGCTATTTGTGCATTCACACGTTTGACGCGAATTCGCGCCTGCCGCCCGAGTTGAAAAATCGGAACTTTGGCGTGAATTCGCGCCGCGTTAACCAATCAGGAGCCTAGCTGCTTGCTCACGTGGTGAAGCATCTGGACGTTTCAATAAATTATTTTGTAATATGACTAAATGCATGGTGGGATTATGCACAACAAAGCAAATATTTTATCACTTAAAACTTTATTTCAATATACGAGACATGTTCATTTTGTATTGAATGTTATTCATTCCATATCTAGATTATATGAAATAGTATTATGATGCAAAGACAACCAACATACATGTGCATAAGTTCCGGTGGACACAAATTTACGACACAAATAAGGGTATGGAGGACACAAATTTACGGCGACGATGATCCCCACGCCGCTCTTCTACTCTCCAGAGTAAAGCAGAGCGGTGACTCTCTCGATGAATGCTCGGTCGACATAAAAACAATGGCCGCCAACGGATTTCAATTCTGACGCGCGTAAATTTCGCTTCAAACTTTTGTTTTTATGCGCGTCAGTTTCACTCTTGACATGCGAATTAACACAAAGTGGTCAAGCGTCAAACTAGACGCGTCAGGCGTGAATTTGACGCGCTATTCGCGTCCGGTGTGAACACAGCATTAGAGCTAAACTCTGGAGGACAGCGAATGAGCAAGAATGGAAACCACTGAAGTATTGAGCAGATCAACTACCGAAGAGCGTAAACCAGTGTTTCTGGTCCTGGAGCCTCCACTGGGATTGAGAAACACTAGTGTAAACACATGGTTTGGTTTGTTTTGGTGACCCCGACGTGCCATCCTACACACTTTTAGTAACTGGTTACCAGGTTTGGATTGCCTGAGAGCCTCCATTAGGTACTGGAGATGTCTGAGAGCGAGACTCAACTCTCGAGTTTCTTCAGTACTGATCAATGATCATTATCACTGCAGCGAGGTGCTTTAAAAACAGACTGAAATATCCAGCACCTGTCCAAAGACCTCCTCATTGACGGTAAACGTTAGATCCAAGATGTCCGTGATATCGTTGTCCTTCATCCATTGTAAGCTCTGGTGGAACTCCTCATCCAGGTATTCCAGATCACTCAAATCTGTCACTCTACAGACCATATAACACAGACATCCAATCAAACGTCATCATTCTACACTCTGCTTATAGTGAACCCCGGGTATTAAGACTTGTCTGGCTTAATCTAATGTAAATGATGTGTAAATGAAGAAAATCCATTAATGATTAACGCTATTTAACCCTAAAACCGTATTCTGGACAAATGTGGGCAAACTGGTTTTGATTTATTTAAAAAAAATACTTCCCTTAATCTGAGCGGAACAGGATTTGGCTACTTTTCCTAAGTTTTTAGTGTAATTTAGAGTCTAAAATAAGCCAAAATAAGACACCAGGTGACGGCAAAGTCACTTCATCTTTAGGTTTTAGCTCTAAGAACTTATTGGAATGATATTTTAATGCAGTTTAAAAAAATAAAACATAAAAATAAGCATCATTTACATAGAAAATATGGTACTTTTTGAAGTAAATAAATTCAAAAATACCCCCAAAATTAAAAAAAACCACCATAAATGGATAGACAAAACTTTATCGAAGACAGTGATATAACATTTATAATTAATAAAAATTAGGATCACACCTGCGTCCTCTGTGCCCACATTTGTCCACAATTACAGGATTAAGGGCTATAAAGTGAATACGGTTTGAGGCCTACAAAATCAACATCAGTTTATACATATTTTGGACAATTGGGGGCGCCATATATGGTGTGCAATGCTGGCGTCAAATGGTTGTACTCGTTGAGCTACTGGCGCTACCTGTTGCTAATTTTACCACAACACACCTCGAAATATAAAAAACTGACACGATGTTTTCGTAAGAGGCATCATTTACGTTATATTAAGCCATAGAAGTCTTGAGTCTGGAATACACAAAACGACACTGCACACGGTTTTGGACAAGTTGAGCCTAGATGCCTAAAGTCAGAGTCATATTTATCATATTTAACAGAAAATTGCATAGTCAGATGATATCAAATATATTTGATATTTTGAGCCAATTTTAGAATTAATTTTTTTATTTGTCACGTCTCTCCTAGGAACGAGGTGCATGTTTCTGTGTGAGTAGTTTGTGTTTGTAATGACCTGAAAGTCAGCTAGTGTCGTTTAGCGTATGAAGCCCAGTTGTCGTTAAGTGTGTGATATGTAGTGTTTAAAAAATCTGTTTAGACGTCGTATAGTGTATTCCAGCCTTTATGGTCTCATTTTGACACTAAAAAACCATTGATACTCACAGTCTGAGTAGGGCTTTGTAGAAAGGACGGGTGAAGAAAGCATCCAGTAGATACTGGTGGATCAGAGCCAGACCCAAAATACGGCCACTGAAGCGGAACCTGTGAGCGTCCAACAAAACATTTATTCGTATCATAATGTTCATTACATACTTCAGCCTTTAAAATCCTTTACCTTGTGGATAGGGCTTGAAAGTCAAGCCGACTTTTGAATTCAATTCAATTTGTGAACTTGAACACTGACATTCACCAGACGTGTCCTTAGCTTGGATAAAGTTCAAGGCAATCTTTGAGAATTTGTCTTTGTATTTAGTTTCCTAACGCTATAATTTACTCAACAAGAGGGCCGTTTTCCCTGCCCGTCAAAATCCCGAAATGAGAGACGAAACAAAGGAGTAGTGTGACCGCTTCTACATGGCTTTCTTTCCAGCTGACCAGAAGGCATGCGATTCCTCGACCACAGACCACATCAACCCCGGACTACAGAGTTGAGCTTCAAACACAGTCCAAGTCTGAGCCGTAATTAGGGATTCAGATAGACAGAATTCCTCACCATTCCAAATGGTTCTCTACAAATGCAGACATGGGGCTGATCTGCACCATATACGTGTCATTGGCCGAGTACTCGAACAGGCCGTAGTACGGGTTAAACATCTCCTGAGACAACAGGAAGAAGAATTCCCGCGACGGGCCGCTGTAGTCCAAACTGTGGAGAACATGAAGGCGATGTGTTAGATCAGTGTGAACGATGTCTCGATCGGCCGTGACGGCAGTGATGTTCGCTCACCCTTCCTCTCCCACAAAGGCGATGTAGAGCTTGTTTCTCTGGAGCTCTTTACGCGAGTACGCCATCACTTGATTAAAGGTGCCTTCCAGTAAGTGTTCCCTTCGGATGATGAGCCTATAACAGCACAACATTAAACCATTTGAAAATCAATGCAAATCATATCTATCTATCTATCTATCTATCTATCTATCTATCTATCTATCTATCTATCTATCTATCTATCTATCTATCTATCTATCTATCTATCTATCTATCCATCTATCCATCTATCCATCTATCTATCTATCTATCTATCTATCTATCTATCTATCTATCTATCTATCTATCTATCTATCTATCTACCTATCTGTTTGTCTATCTATCTATCTATCTATCTATCTATCTATCTATCTATCTATCTATCTATCTATCTATCTATCTATCTATCTATCTATCTATCTATCTATCTATCTATCTATCTATCTATCTATCTATCTATCCATCTATCCATCTATCTATCTATCTATCTATCTATCTATCTATCTATCTATCTATCTATCTACCTATCTGTTTGTCTATCTATCTATCTATCTATCTATCTATCTATCTATCTATCTATCTATCTATCTATCTATCTATCTATCCATCCATCCATCCATCCATCCATCCATCCATCCATCCATCCATCCATCTGTCTATCTATTTGTTTGTCTATCTATCTATCTATCTATCTATCTATCTATCTATCTATCTATCTATCTATCTATCTATCTATCTATCTATCTATCTATCTATCTATCTATCTATCTATCTATCTATCCATCCATCCATCCATCCATCCATCCATCCATCCATCCATCCATCCATCTGTCTATCTATTTGTTTGTCTTTCTATCTATCTATCTATCTATCTATCTATCTATCTATCTATCTATCTATCTATCTATCTATCTATCTATCTATCTATCTATCTATCTATCTATCTATCTATCTATCTAGTCTATCTAGTCTATCCATCCGTCCGTCCGTCCGTCCGTCCGTCCATCCATCCATCCATCCATCTCTATAGCACATTCATAATGAAAAACCCGCAGGCACACTTACTTTATTTTCCCGGGCCCCTGTCCGTAGCCTTTAGCCTCCAGCTTTCTGTAAAAATTGCGCAGTTTGGCCTCAAAGTCTCTGCGGTACGGAGCCGGCGCTCTGGCCCTCTGCAAGCCTGTCAAACACACAACACCCCTGCATATAACTACTACACATCGGCCTATATATGAACATGCCCTTATCTCAAAATATCCTACAATTAATTAAAATGAAATAAAAGCATGTTTTCATAAGCAAGAAGCCAAAGAAAAGATACATTTAATACGTCTAACATTTCTAGAGCCATCAAAGAGAAAACAACAAAGCAAATGGAGCCGGAGCAGAATCATGCTGTGAAATAATCTTAGTTACACTTTGAGCTTTCTCATCAAACACCAGCTCTCATCCCAACCCAACAGGCTGCTATCGGCACAGCAGGACATCCGGCATCAAATTAAGTCGCTTTAACTGGTGTCTCACTGGGGTGTGATCAAGCACATTTCTGAAAGAGCCGTCGTGACGCGAGGAATGACCAAGAGCCGCTGTGATTTGTTTAAACGGATGTGGGGAACGATTACTCTCGCTGCTTAAGGGAAACGATCTGCTGTGTTTCGGCACACAACACACTGGCTCATGTTTCACACACACTAAAAGAAAAGCTTAGAAGTTAGTGTCTAGATGTTTGCTATTGAGCAAAAGAATGTGGTTTATTAAGATGATAATCTAAAAATGGTTAGATGGTGCCTGACCTTTGACCTGTAAAATGGTTGTTTAGTTTAGAGGCCCTCTGTATACTTCTTAACAGGGTCCTATTCTACTTTTTCACGTTATTCAAGTTATTCTCTATATATCAGTGTTCCTGAACTCCTGAAACGCCTCCATTGTAGTCTCGAGTTTCTCCCGGGAACGAACACGTCACAATATTCCTCATTATAATAATTAATGCGCATAATAAAGGGGCGGGGCCTGGTTGAGTTAGTTAGTAGTGTGTTAAACTGGCGGTAAACGGAAAGGGCGGGGCATTTCCCAAACACACTCGAAGTGCTCGACCAATCACAACACACTGCTCCAGCCGACCAATCAGAGCACAGTGTGCTTTCAGGAGGAGGGGCTTCATAGAGACAGGGCGTTACTGACAGACTGGGAAGAGAGGAGCCGCAACAATGGAGAATATGAGGAGAATAATCATGAAACCTGCTCTAGAAGAGCCTGAAAACTACATCAAGACTTTAAAAAAGGGCCAATAGGTCCCCTGTATAGTAAACAAAAAGAACATTTAGGACATCTATACTATTTCTCTTACATGAAAACGGATCAAAATATGGATGCCTTTTCTTGAATATATAGGCAATTTTTAGTTGGCTACAAAGCTAGAACTATCAGTAGTTTCACAAATATTCTGGGTGTAGCCACCTGTATTACTGTTGCCCTAATAAATGATCTGAAACTTACCCAATTATGAAAGTCATATGATAAGTATATAAAAGTCATCGGATGTGATCATACCAGGTGAACTCTGCGGCGAGGATCCAGGAGAGCAGCGAGGGGAGAAGCTCAGGCCGGGGTGGAAGGAGTGAGATGGAATAAACGACATGATCTCGTCATCAAATAGACTGCGTGACAGAGAAGAAAAACATTACAATGTACACTGGTGGTTTGGGATCATTCAGATGAGCATAAGATGATTTGTGACGGATCATGTGACACTGAAGACTGGAGTAATGATGCTGAACATTCAGCTTTGATCACAGGAATAAATTACACTTATATATATATATATATTCATTTAGAAAACAGCTGATTTACATTGGAATAATGTTTCACAATATTAATGTTTTTACAGTTTTTTTTTTTCATCAAATAAATGCATAAGCATCTTTCAAAAAAAAGAATAAGTTTTGACCACCGGTGTAAAGACAAAATATTTTTGTATACTTATAATATTAAATGTCATATAAATAATATAAATTAAATATCTGAGCAAGTAAAATAATGAAGGTAAATTGTTTACTTTGTCAATTATATCGTAGCCCTCAAACCGGCTGTGGTGTGATCCTAATTTTTATTTATTATAAATGTTATATCACTGTCTTCGATAAAGTTTTGTCTATCCATTTATGGTGTTTTCTTTTATTTTGGGGGTATTTTTGAATTTATTTACTATTATTTTCTATGTAAATTATGCTTATTTTTTTGTTTTATTTTTTTTTAACTACATTAAAATATCATTCCAATAAGTTCTTAGAGCTAAAACCTAAAGATGAAGTGACTTTGCCGTCACCTGGTGTCTTATTTTGGCTTATTTTAGACTCTAAATTACAGTTCCCTTTCGTAGTCACTTCGAGTTACGTCAGAAGTGACGGAGATTGGGGGATTTCGCATAGAAAGCCAATCCTCTTCGAGTATTAAAACACGAGCCAATGGCATGCAATGCCTTGGGGCTGCGGAAATTTGCATAGCGTACTCCGCCCTACTCCGTGAGTATAAAAGGAGGAAGTGAACGCAACCGCAGTATGTTTTCGCTTCGGAGCCAAGAGAACCTCTTCACTCCTAAAAGCTGATTCAAGACTCTTCGAGAACGAGCGTCCTCTTCAGTGTTGGTGTGACGGCGGTACCCAGCGAGATTTTGCATTGCCTGCGATCTGAGCAGTGGTCTGCCAGACTTTGCACTTCTCCCTGGTAGCTTCAGCGCTGAAAGAGTGAATTTCTCCTTTCTCTAAAAGTGAAAGTGAAAGAGCTGCACGCGGCACGTCTTTTTAAAGATGGTTCGCCCGTGCCCTTCTGGATGTGGTAGATTTCTGTCATCATCTGATGGTCACGAACGCTGCTTTGTATGCCTGGGCATTCAGCATGCAGCAGCAGCGTTCGTGGATGACTCATGTTCCTTCTGTGGGAGCATGACCATCTCCACACTGAGGTCGAGGCTCAATGATCTCACTAGAGTGAGAGCCCCGGTCCCCCCTACTCGATCGGCTTCCTTCACGAAAGGGGGCCCGTCGACCCGGGACCCGGCGATCTAACGGTGACGGTGTGGGATAGAGCCCCGACGATTCCTCGGGCCACACCTCCCGCCTCAGTGCGTGAGCCAGCGAGCGCCAGCTCGATTCAGTCGGCTGTCTCTTCGGCGGCGCCGGCTGCTTCTAGCAGCGCTCCAGATGATGATGTGATGTCTATCACTGCATCACTAGGCGGGCTTGAGTCCTCGGAGAGGAAGATGCGGCTGCGTTGCCTCCTTCGGGAGTGCCAGCGTTGCCCGTGTCAGATCCCGAGCTGACGGCCATGCTGTCTCGAGCCGCTGGGAGTATCGGGCTAGAATGGAAACCTCCATCCTGCCCCGATCTCTCGCGGATGGATAACTGGTATCTGGACAAAGCTGCCGCCGCAAGGCCACGGCCAACTCCGATACCTTTTTTCCCCGAGCTGCATGCGGAGTTATCGCGCTCTTGGGGGGCTCCTTTGTCCACTCGAGAGCGCGATCTCTCCCCCGCCTTTCCCCCCCTCGACGGTGGGGCCGCCCGTGGGTACACTGGGATGCCCCCGGTGGAGCGCTCTGTTGCGATGCAGCTGTGTCCACAGAGCGCCTCCACCCGTGGTCCTCCTAAGCACCCATCCAAAGCCTGTGGGTTCTCGTCTGCTATGGCGGCGCGAGCCTACAGAGCGGCGGGACAGGCGGCCTCCGCTTTGCATGCCATGAGCACTTTGCAGGTCTTCCAAGCGAAGGTGCTCAGAGACATGCACGAGGGCGGGACTGACTCGACGGCATTTAAGGAATTGCGGTCCGCCACTGACCTTGCTCTCCGGGCAACGAAAGTGGCCGCTCGCGCCGTCGGTCAGGTGATGGCCACTTCGGTGGTTCAGGAGCGCCATCTCTGGCTCAACCTGGCAGATACGCGGAGCGCTGAGCGGACTCGTCTGCTCGACGCTCCGCTCTCCCAGGTTGGCCTTTTCGGCGGTGCGGTCGAGGACTTCGCCCAGCAGTTCTCCACCGCTCAGAAGCAGACGGAGGCCATCAAACACATCCTGCCCCGGCGACCAGCTGCTGCCTCCACCCAGTCATCGGCGCAGGTGCCTCCCTCTGCTCGCCGCCGAGGACGCCCCCTGCGGCTCCCCTCCCTCCCGCCCGGCCCCAGCAGCAGCCTTCACCCGGGCCCCGGCGTCGAGGAGGCCGCAGGCCGCGTCACAGCCCCCTCAGGCCGCTCGCCCCGCTAAACGCCAGGCCAAGCGAAGATCCTGACACGGGCCGCTCAGTGACGATCTCGAGTCTTTCCCAGGAGGCGGTAGCAGGCCCCCTCCTTCCCCCGGTGGAGGGCCGGGGGAGAATCTTTTGTTCTCAGCTCCCCGCTGCTCACCCACGGGTGGGCAGCACCCTGAACTGGTTAAAGAAAGACTTGACATCCTCACTGAGCTCACAGACTGGAGTGGGTGCGCTCGATGCCCCCGTGCGTCAGCCCACACACTCCTCTCTGTCTCTGAGGGCGCGGAAGGGTGCGTGTGTCGTCCCAGGGCTACACCAATCCCTTCCCCCTCTGTCGCCAGACCCCGGCAGAACAGACCCCCGTGGAACGCTCCGCTTTCCCTGGTCCCTTCTGTCGGGGAGCGGGCTTCGACGCATCCGAGCGGGGTAACTCCTGCACGCGTGCCAGTCGACCCGCACCGCTGCCCCTCCGGGGGGACGTCTGTGGTTCGCATGACCCCGTTGGCTCATTTCCTGGAAGCCTGGCTAGCGCTTCCTGGGATTTCCCGCTGGGTCATCAGAACGATCAGACTCGGCTACGCGATTCAGTTCGCACGGTCTCCTCCCCGCTTCACGGGAGTTCGCTCCACGATGGTCGGTGGCAATGCCCCAGTCTTGAGAGCGGAGATTGCGACCCTGCTGGCGAAGGGTGCAATCGAGACGGTCCCTCCAGCCGAGGTGAGGTCCGGGTTTTACAGCCCCTACTTCATTGTCCCCAAAAAGACCGTGGGTTACGACCGATCCTGGACCTGCGCATTTTGAACCGTTCTCTCCATCGACTACCGTTCAAAAATGCTCACGGCCAAACGCATTTTCGAATGTGTTCGGTATCAGGATTGGTTTGCAGCGATCGACCTGAAGGACGCGTACTTCCATGTGTCCATTTTACCTCGACACAGACCGTTTCTTCGGTTTGCCTTCGAGGGCCAGGCATATCAGTACGCCGTTCTCCCCATTCGGGTTAGCTCTGTCCCCTCGCGTCTTCACGAAGATCGTCGAGGCAGCCCTTGTTCCCCTTCGCGAACACGGG